CATATTAATTCAACCCATCTCCATCAATCTGTGTGGCTTACTGGATAAAATTCCAGCATCTATCTCCAGCAGCAGGGCTACATGGTTTCTCTCTGACTCTGCCTTCTTTGTCCCAGCATTCAGTTTAGTTTTCTCCACCAAGATTCATACCAATGCAAATCTCTATATCATATCCCCTTTTAAATGTAAACAAACATTTATAAACAATATTTGGGAATATGAGTATAGTTCTCTCCAAACTGTTTCCTGTTTTGGCTGGGTGAAGAATTTTTGAGGGTGTTCATGGAGACTTTTGGGGGGTCTTGGTACATCAAACCACATTAGTCTGGGAGGATTCCACAGGTTCTCATTCTCCGTGAAAGCAAAAGAAGAAAAAAAAACTTCTTTTCCAAAGCAACAAACGCTGAGAACACCTCATATACATTGTCATACACTGCAGAAACTTTAGGAATTTCATCCTCACCCCACACCCGAGCTCACTGAACATTTTTAAATGTTACTCAAGCAACTCAAGTAGCATTTTTTTAAGGTCAAACATTATGACACAAAACAATCCGAAGTTACACTAATTTAATATTAACATAATAAGGAACAATGGTAAGAAGCCTTTGTCTTCCATAATCAAACAATTTTTTCTGTTCTATAAAGGGGAAACAACTTTGCACATCCAGTAAAAAACCTTGCAAGTTTAGCATGCATTAATCTGCAACTGGAGCCAAGGTGCTTCAGGCAGTGTCTGTGGGCATTTTGCAGTACGATGACTCATGCATTGAGCATGAAATGTGCATGTTGTGTGCTTCAGATCAAGATTATCGCGAAGTCTTGATGAAACACAGATACACACTACCAAAAAGGCCTCCGGTTCATTATAAGCTTAATTTTCAATTAATTTTACTATTGTCAAAATTTTCATGATCACCACACAAGAAGCTAGGATTTTGGAACTAGGGAGATGGCTCAGTAGTTGAGGCTGCCCTTGCAGAGGACCCAGGTTTGGCTCCCAGCATCCAAATGTCTCAGAACTGTCTATAACTCCAGTTCCAGGGCCTCCGAGGCTCTTTTCTAGTCTGAGGGCACCATCATGTGTGTGTGTGTGTGTGTGTGTGTCTGTGTGTGTGTGTGTGTGTGTGTGTGTGTGTGTGTGGTGCGTGTACACACATTCATCCACAGGAAATAATAAAATTAACAAAAAAAGAAGCTGGGGTCAAGGGCACTCTTGTAGAGCGACTTCTGATTCACTGAGGTGCACATAGGAGACAGGCAGTACAGAATGACACGTGTTTGGGGCCCCGGGAACACCAAGTATAAGGATAAAATCTGTGGAGATGTACCTAACTCCTGGGGGGTTTGTAGACCTTATTTTCCCAGTGTGACACGTGAGAGCAAGCTCTAAGCACTTGTTTTGTGTTGGAACTGTAATAGAAACCTCTTGCTATTTTGTGTGTCAGCAGTAAGAGATCAATAAATGAAAAGTAGCTTATCCTCTTGTAAACAGTCTGTAGACTGAAACTTTAAAAAGTCTCATATTTTGCCTCTAACAGGAAAACAGGGAGGAAGAGTCTAAAGCAGCAGCTAACCCGATTCCCTTTTCTCTTTGGGACCAGGAGCAAGAGTGCCAGGTTTCTGTAGTGATGCCCGGCCTCGAACTCAACAAAGATGCACCTGCTTCTGACCTCCAGGTGCTGGGATTAAAGGCAGGCACCACCATGACTAGCTTTCAACTCCTAATTCTGAACAAGGATGATTGAGATCTAACAGTGAGGTGAAAGAGAACTGACACTTGACTTGCTAGTGGTAGGTTTGCGGTTGGAACTCCAAATTCGTCTGTGTGAACCTTTTCCTTAACACACTGAGGATGAGCTGTTTCTAATGGACAAGTACTCAAACTATTTATAAATTTTTTTTAAGGTGGGTCCCGGACTTTCTTCCCTTGAAATGGCTCCTGCTTAGTTTTCCACTTAGTTTGAGGTTCTCCTAAACTCTGGCTGAAAAGCAAGTCATCTTGGACTGAGCATTGTTGACACCACTCTTAGCTAAATGTGGAAATCAGTGTGGCACAGACTGGTTACCAGAGGGAACTGTGGGCTCTTGTTCAGAGTGCAGGGTCACGTTCTGCTGAATAGCCTCAGAAGTTGGCGGAAGGTAGGGAGGCTGGCCTTCAGACAGGAAGTGGAGGTGGGAATTTGGCTCAGTTACCTATTGCCCACACTGGTTCGCATGACTGGCTCACAGCTCTGATGGAAACTACTTCAGCCAAGCAATGAAGCCTGGGAAGGTCAGGTATCACCTGATTAACACTGGCAAATCCTCGCACTGGTACCACCGTACGGCCTTTGTTAACACTGAAGTACACACTGCAAGGGCTGGAGTTGGCACAGGGCACACCAAGACCAAGTTCTTAGCACAAAGGAGATTTATTTGCCTCAGAGGGACAAAGGGCAGGGAATGATAGACAAACACGAAGATAGAGGACAAACGAGAAGAGGAGGGGAGGAACAAGACAGTAAGGGGAAGGGGTATTTGTTGGGGGGTGGAAGGGGAGAGTGGGACACAAAGAACTGTGTCTGGATAGGGAGGAGACAGCCTAGGCCCATAGGCAAATGGCAGTTTATAAAGGGAAGAGGGACCCCCCCCCCGAATTAGGGTGAGTTGGTTTGTTTTGATTGAGTATGTTAGTTAGGACAGCCAAAAGGGAGCTTCTGATTGCTGAACTTCAATACTTTGATAGCTGGCCCTTGGCCGTCAGCCTCTTCAAGAGTAAGTAGCCAGATGAGGGAATTAACCTTGGTGGCTAGCTTTAGGAATGCAGTCTGTGGTTTAGAAAGGAGGATGGAAGGGCAAGGCCTGCCAAAGCCTTGTTTGTCTTGCTCCGGCCTACTAGAGTCCTTCATACACCTGAGGCCAGATCAAAAGGACTAAAATTTGAAAAGATGTGACTGCCACAAGAGATGAATAGCAGGAGTCTGTTGGCAAAGGAAGCAGACACAATTCCTTTTAGAGTTTAGTAGGAGTTCAGGACCTGGAGGTGCCAGGGACAGCGGGAGTCAGAACAGCATAATTTATGATGATTAAACACAATAGAGTGTGAATTGGAGGAGAGGCTTCCCTTTAAAGCCTGGAGAAGAGTTTCATGAAGACTGGAGAGATGGCTCAGGGGTTAGGAGCACTGGCTGTTCTTCCAGGGGAACCAGGTTCAATTCCCAGCACCCACATTGCAGCTCACAACAATCTGTAATGTCATTCCAGGATCCTATCCCTCACACAGACATACATGCAGGCAAAGCACCAATAAAACAAAAATAAATGTAAAAAAAAGAGTGTGAATATGAGAGAGAGAGAGAGAGAGAGAGAGAGAGAGAGAGAGGTGGTGGGTGGGAGAGGCAAGCCGAGGGGTGGGCGTGGGGAGGTGTGGGGAGGCTGCATGTCCCTGCAGAGTCTCTCACCAATCCCTAGAATAAAGGGCAAGCCTGATTTTTATAACCTTCTAAAGGTGGCAAGAAGTTTCACATCCCATAGTTTAGTTCAGTGTGGCCTACGTGATAAGGAGCCAGGTACCATAAGCTAAGAAGAATAAAGGGCAAGCCTGATCTTTACAACCTTCTAGAGGTGGCAGGATGTTTCCATCTCATGATCTAGTTCAGTGTGGTCTCTGTGATAAGGAGCCAGGCACTATAAGCAGAGAAAAACTGTCAAGTCCCTGCACAGACTGCTTCATAACTCCCACCTAGGGAGAGTCGTGGCTTGATTCAGGTTATGGGGCGGGGCTCAAAGGTTCTATGTTCTAACAGTGGCCAAATGATGAAGGATGTGGGCCAGGCTGTATGCACACGTTTTCTAACTCCTCGGGGTAGTGGAATGGAGACCAGAACGGATAGGAGAACCTGCCAATGTTAGTTAGTATTCAGTCATCTGTACTGGCCTGCCCTTAGGTCCTAAGAGCGCCCCCTGTGAACTTTCACTTTGTTCCCTTATAAAAGGTGGACTTTGCCCACTTACTGTCTTTTCCCTCTTCTCTCTCTGTGTGTCTCTGCCTCTCTTCTTTTCTGCTGCTCCTGTCCCCAGAGGCTGGTCTCTCCCTTCCCCTTCTCCCTTTTCCCACTCTCCCCCCCCCATTAAAACACACACACACACACACACACACACACACACACACAAAACAAAACAAACAAACAAACAAAAACCCTCCATGTGAGCTCTGTTGCATGGCGTCTTTCTCTGGTGCACTTTGTCTTAAATTATAACAGCCAGAACAAAGAATGCATGAAGCCACGAATTTAACCAAGCTAGATGATTTAACAGGTCTCAAACAGGCACTCAAAGTCCTGAGTGGGATACTGGAAATCAATAATCTCTGAGTGGCTTTATCTGAGGACACTCCTGGGCCAGCAGTTTGTAAGTTCCTCCAGTTCCATACTTCTGCTTTTTACCACAAGGAAGTTTGTTTGCTAACAGTGAGTAAACAGACCTTGCAGGGGTGGAGCGCTGGCCTTTAATCCCAGCATTTGGGGAGCATAGACTAGTGGATCTCTGCGAGTTCAAGGCCAGTCTGGTCTACAGCATGAGTTCCAAGGACAGCCAGGGCTACACACAGAAACTCTGTCTCGAAAAACAAAACAAAACCCCAAAACAACAAAAAACAGTGGATTAAACAGACAACAGCATACATAGAAAACTCTTTTTCTCTCAGTTGCCAGGCACGCATACTAAAAGACATTTAAAAAGGTGGTGCGTGAGAGAAGAAATTCGCCTTTTGCGTGATTTAGACAAGTTATTTAATTTCTTCTAAACCTCGCTTATCCGTCTGTATAAGAAAAAAAAAAGACTCTTTGGCGCAAACTCGCAATCTTTAAGGAGCTGAGCACGAAAGAGTGTATAGTGTTTTGAGTCCGTGAATCCGGCTGCACGGGGGCCACGCCCCCTTCGGCCTGCTCATCTCTGATTGGCCCCCTCGGAGGGGCGGGACCCTGGCGGGCTCTAGTTACCCTACAGTGTCAGGTCGTAGGGCAGGGACTCTGCAGACGCCGCCATGGCTGGCATTGCTCTCGGGCCTGCGCGCTCCCTGCTTGCCGCCCTTCTGGCGCCAGCGCTGGTGGCATTACTGGTGTCACCGGCCCGGGGTCGCGGGGGCCTGGACCACGGGGACTGGGACATGGGCTGGCGACTGCCTCCGCTGCCACCCCGCGAAGACGCGCCGCGCGTGGCCCGCTTCGTGACGCACGTCTCGGACTGGGGCGCGCTGGCCACTATCTCCACGCTGGAGGCGGTGCGCGGCAGGTCCTTCGCGGACGTCATCTCCTTCAGTGACGGTCCCCCGGGCGCAGGCAGCGGCGTGCCCTACATGTACCTGAGCCCAATGCAGCAACTAGTGAGCGACTTGCAGGTGAGCCGGAGCGCCGCAGGCAGACCAGGGAGTGAACCTCTGAAGTTTAGTTCGCTGCGGAGCGCGTGCGTCTTAGAGATAAGAATTTTGAACCCAGCTCAGATGACTGTGCCCCTTCTGGCCGGCGCTAGCTGGGCGGGGATTCCAGAAGTTCCTACTCGCCTGATGAGTGTTCTAAACACTTGGGATAAATTCTTTGCTAGTACCTGGAGGACTTCACGCCCTTCCGATTGTCATGAGTCGTCTTAAGGGACAGTCTCTGCACGGGCCGCTTGTTATTCAAAGGCTTTACAAAGCATACAGATCGTTGGCTAGTTATTTAGCATTTGGCTTGTGTGATTTCAGAGTTCCTCTCTCCTCTCGCTCCAGACCTTTCCTATCAGCAGTGAGAAACTACTACCCGACGTTAAGGTTGACTGCCTTCTTTGGACTGACTACAGAAACATAGTGGCCTCAATAGAGAGCCCGACTCTTGGAGGGGCTGGCTCCTCTTTGTCCTTTGCCTACTCTCTGACCAGGATAAGCTGTGAAACACGAGCTGAGAGGGAAGAGCCACACAGGTGCCTGAAATGGAGCCTGGCTTGGGGCAAAGCCGGGAAGACACTGCATGCTTGTAAAAGTCAGATGAGAGAAACGGAAACGGACTTTTTAATCAAGCATGCGTGGTGCCGTGTGCCAAGAGCTTTTCATTTCCACTCATTTGCATTTATATCTCTTGGAGTAACTCTTAGAAGTAGGTTTGACTATTCCCATGATGCCATGAGGTTAAGCAATATGCAAAGCCAGGGGGCCGACTCTAGCTCACCTCAGATCCACCTGTCTTCAAAGAACAAGACACAGACTGGGACCCATGAACTCAGAGGCCAGTTTCCTTCAGCCTACACAGAGTTCTGTTTTGTTCTTTTCTAAATTTTATAAATTTATATTTCATATATGAGTGTACACCTGCATGCCAGAAGAGGGCATCAGATCCCATTATAGATGGTTGTGAGCCACCATGTTATTGCTGGGAACTGAACTCAAGACATCTGGAAGAACAGTCAGCGTTCTTAATCGCTGAGCCATCTCTCCAGGCCTAGGCTGTCTTTTCACACTGCGATTGTATGGGGCTGGGGAAATAGCCCAGTTGGTAAAGTACGTGCCAGGAAAGCTTGAGGACCGTTTGGTCTTCGTTACCCATGTAAAAAGCGAGGTGTGAAGGTAGGTACTTGTGATCCTCACTGGACAGGCAGACACAGCTCCCTGTCCAGCCAGCCTAGCCGAGTCAGTGAGCTTCAGGCCCCAGGGAGAGACCTTGTCTCAAGTCTTAAAAAACAAGTTGGATGGCTCTAGCTTCTGAGAAGTGACATCCATAGTTGACCTCTGGGCCACACCATGCACTCATTAACACATGTGCACCTGTGGTACACCTGCACTCTCCACACATGAACACACACACACACACACACACACCACAGATGCATGATAAATAGCAAATAGAATCTGCACTCTAACATTTAAAGTGTCTTAACCATCGTGAAAAAATCAGAAGATCTAACAGCCCTGGGAGTGGGGGCAGGGTTATATTTTCTGAGAAACAAAAAGAATAGAAGCCGCTGCCCCCTCCAGCCCAGATATATTCACCCCAATTCCCCATTTCCTTCTTCCCAGCCCTCCTCACTCCTTTAGGCATCCGCTGTTTACAGGCTCCCTCTACTCCAGGGGTGGCACTCGAATGACCCGCAGGTCTCTTGAGAAGGGGTCTCGAAATGCACTCACTACCAGGCCACTTTCCCCTGAAACAGTGCCCTGTGTTCCCTTAAACCCTCGCTGATGATTCTGCCAGGAAGGGGACAGATCGAGCATCACTATTACCTGTGATCTTATTTATATTTGTGAGGTGTCCAGGGAGTAGTGGTATCATCCTCACTGCAGAAACGAGGACACTGAGATTTAGAGCTAGTGGGGCTCACTTGTGGCCACCTAGCTGATGGCCATCGGGGTAAGACGCCAGTGAACTACTTCACGTGTAGAAAAGGGGCAGGTGTGGGCTGGAGAGATGGCTCAGAGGGTAAGAGCACTGGCTGCTCTTCCAGAGGTCCCGAGTTCCATTCCCAGCAACCACATGGTGGCTCACAACCATCTGTAATGAGACCTGGTGCCTTTCTTGCCAGCAGTACATTGTATGCTTAATAAATAAATAAATCTTTGAAAAAAAAAGAAAAGAAAAGGGGCAGATGTGAGGAACCCACCCAAGGTTTCAGTTCCTGTGATGTATTGAAAAGATGTGAGCTTGTCAGTGTTCATGATATGAACGTGATGGATGCTGACTCAGTTAGCCAGCCAGAGTTGGCATCTGCTCTGCTCTTCTAATTGATTCCAACCACCGAGAGTCTCTTCATGCCATCGCATTAGCGTTAGAAGAACAAGACTCGGGCTTGAGACCACTTCTGCCATGTAAAATGCCAGGCATCGCCCTCAGAGACAAGTTGTGAGGTTTTGAGTCTACTTCCCTTCGGGACGTTCCTCTTGTCTAGTGTGTAATGTTTTGTATAGTAAATGTTTATAGGAAGAATTTGTCAATGCTTGTTGATAATACAGTAGCAAGTTGGGCTGTAGAGCCAGCGAGTCAAAAGTAAAATTGATAGTGCTTGCCTAGGATGCTGGAAGCTCTGAGCTGTATCCCAGTGTTACAGAAAGCAGGCTTGGTGGCGCAGGCCTATAGTCTCAGTATTTGGGAGGTGGGTGCAGAAGGGTTAGCAGTTCAGAGTGATTCTCTGATATCTGGAGAGTTCAAGGCCTGCCTGGACTATATAAGGTCCTATCTCAAACAAAACAAAATCCTTTTTATCTTTCCTTCCTTCTTGGCACTTCTCTCCTGCAATATGACCAGGTTATTCCTGATTTCTTTTACCCTTTGACCTATTAAAAAACAAGTCAGTTTCTAACCCCTTGGTTCTTTTGATACTTTAGATATTATGTGCACTGTCATGGTTTTCCTTCTGCTTAGGATTTACTTCCACATTTGTGTTCATGTTGGACCTCACCAGACTAAATGATTGCCTTCATTTAGTATCTGTCAGATAGGAGTTCCATTTCCCTCTTCTTCTTGGAAACCGTCCCCCCTTGACCGTCAGCGTCCTGAAGTGTGGAGTTGTTATTTTCTCAACAAACATGTTAGAATTTTTGCTGTCGCTCCAAACCCCTCGGCTTTTCTTCTGCTTCCTTTGTTTCCATCTCCGCTCCTTCCCCTTCACTGACCCTGTGCTTAGGCTAAGTCCTCACCACTTCCATCTAAGAAGTTTTCAAACAACTCTTAAACTTCTGGACCACCCTGCCCACCAGACTTACCGTAGCAAAATACTCACAGTGTTGCCCAACGCACAAGGGGCTTAACCAGCGCAGCCCACTGCTACTCAAGAATCACCTGGAAAAAAATAAAATAAAATAAAAGAATCACCTGAAGTGTTTCTCACCCGGGTGTGGGAGCTGGGGAGATGGCTCGTCAGGAAAAGAGCTTGACATGCAGGTGTCAAGAGTTCAGATCCCTGGTGCCCACGTAGAAAGCCAACCTGTCGGCCAGTAATCCCCCTGCTCGGCAGGTGAAGACAGGGAGTTTCTGGGCTGAACAAACACCCTCCCTGCTTTAGGAAATAAGGTAGAGGTTGATCAAGGAAGACATCCAGTGTCATCTGACTTCACACCCACATCTGCCCACATACATGGGAACACACGTGCATGCACATGGACACACAGGCACGTACACACACAAATAGTAAAATAAATAAAACCTTGGGTGCAGAATTATCATCTTAACAGATTATAGGGAATTTTGAAAAGCACCGCTTGAGGAGACCTGCGAAAACCAACCTAGACTCCTGAGCGAGGAGTCTTTGAGCAGTGCTCACCTCCTCCCCGGCCCCTCCATCCCTTGGCTTTTCCCTTACATTGGCTTTCTCTGTAATGGCTATGGAGTCTTACACTTTCCCAGTCTACATTCCCACTGCTTTAATACACCTTCCTGCTCCAGTCCTGATTTGGCTTATGTCTGACTTCTCAACCAGATCTGGAATTCACCTTACCTGAGCTCTCTCCCTTGGTTTTCCTTTTTGAGGGAGGGGGTGAGTGGAAGGGGGAGCTCCTCTCGTCTAACAGCTTGAAGACAGCAAATATTTTAGCTAGGAGTAAAGGTATGCACCACCATGTCCAGCAAGATTGACTTTATCTTTAACTGTGTGTATGTGTGGCTCTGTGTGTGGGCACCCTCGTAGGCCAGACAAGATCCCTTGGAACTGAAGTTACAAGTGGTTGTGAGCCCCTGGACGTGGGTGCTGGGAACCGAACTTGGGCCCCGTGGGAGAGCGGTACACGCTTTTGCCGTCTGAGCCCTTTCTGTTTTCCTCTTTCCTGAGAGTCTCTGAGACTCCGTGTTTTTGGTGGGCCATTGTGAAATAGGAAAGTTCACCCCAAAACCACTCGGGGTGAAGGCAGTTGTGAATTTGCAGTCTTGTGGAAGGATGCTGGGTTCTGGAGAGGAAGGAATTGAGTCTTTCTTTCTGCCTTTGTGTTTGAATCAGAGTGAAGAATTCTCTGTTACAGAAGCTGGGAGGGGAATAAGCACTCTCCCTTCTGGAGCTCACGTGACAACTTCTGCAGTCACGAGATAACCCTGCTTCGTGACTCAGCTACTTTCCTTGTTTAAGTTGTGTAATTAGGCTGTTCAAACAGCTGCGGCTTTTTATGAACTGTTTTGTTTTGTTTCTTATTAGAGTTTGACCCTGTAGATATTTAAGTGGGGACTATCAACAGCCCTGGTTTGGGGGATACTGTATTTATACTTCTGACAATTATGGAACAGATAAGAACAGATATGCTAAAACATTCCCTGTAGATTGTTAATTTAAAGCCTGACACCTCTCCACACACACTTGGTGGTGATCAGGACCGGTCTCCGCCCGTGGACTGTTTTTCCCTTGTCCAGGGAGGCTTGCAGTTAGTTCACTGTTTCGTGTAAGTGCAATACATAGAGGGATGGTATGTCTGCAGCTTGCACTGTACCTCTCCAGAAACTGCAGGTCACATGCAAAGCTCTTCGTTTTTCTCTCTCTGCAGGAACATCCAGAGGCTACGCTGACACTGTCTTTGGCACAGACTGTCTTCTGTAGGAAACATGGGTTTGATCCCCAGAGTCCCTTGTGTGTTCATATAATGCTGTCAGGAACTGTGACCAAGGTGAGTGGTGACTTCCATGAGGAGAGATGGACCTGGAAAAACATCATGGTATTAGAAACAAGGAAAGAGTCTTTGAAGAATAACATGCAATTGATTTGTTAGTGGGTGCGCGGTAAGAACACATTCTCACACATACAGTGAGTCCAAGAACTAAGGCTCTGGCGGGGGTCCATCACGTAGGTGTTCAGTAGGGCTCTTAGGGGACAAAGAACCTATGTCTTAAAGCCAAACATGTCACATTTGGAAGATTCTGTGTAAAAACACTCTTGTTAAATATCTGCTCATACAGAACCATTGGTCTCTAGTTTTATGAAAGTTCCATGTTCCCATGTTTGATACCAACAAGAGGGGTGCCTGTTACTAACTGGAAGTATGTCTGGACAGTTTGGGCTGAGTGCTGGAGAGAAGAGGTTAGATAAGATCAACAGTGCTGAGTGTGGTAGTGCATGCTTTCAATCCAAGCACCCAGGAGGCAGAGTCAGGCAGATCTCTGTGAGTTTAAGACCAGCACGGTCTACATAGTGAGTTCCAGGACAGCTAGGGCTTCATAGTGAGATCCCATCTCTAAAATCAAACAGAAAAAGACCTATGGAATTCCAGTGGACAGGTGTCTTGTACATAAATCTTTTTTAAAAAAAATTATTTTATTATTATTAATATTTTATGTTCATTTGTGTGAGAGTCAGATGCCCTGGAACTGGAGTTACAAACAGTTGTGAGCTACCATGTGGGTGTGTTGGGAATTGAACTCAGGACCTCTGGAAGAGCAGCCAGTGCTTTTAACTGCTGAGCCATCTCTCTAGCCCCACGTATATAGTTTTATTGCTGAGCCAGTGATTTGCTTTCTGGCCTTTGTGACTTCAGGTCTGGACATTCTCCGTGGGTATATCTCTGTGGGTGGTGTCCTTGACTGACAGGCGCAAGCCAGGAAGTAACACATGCTCTTGGGTCCCATTGTGTTACTTTTCCGCACGTTCACCCTTCACACACATGCTTTTCACATGTGCAGATAGATCCTGGGGTGAGTGGGACACTACTCTCAGGTCCAGGTGACATTATAGTGCGTCTGAGCCAGGTACAGGGGTAGCTCAGGATTACTGTTGAGCACCGAATCTCGATCCTTACAGTCTGTTTTGATGCATGTGTTGTTACAAGTTTGAATTTTCTCCAAGCTTCCATTTACTCTTGAGTCTTAAGACCAGGATTTGCAGCTGAATAAGTTCTCAGGCAGGGTGTGTGGTGTGAGAACCACGCATTGTTAGCAAAGGAGAAATCCATGTGTCAGACTGCTTCTCCCCTGTTTATCCTTCAGGTGAACGAGAAGGAAGCAGACTATGCGAAGAATTCATTATTCCTGCGACACCCTGAGATGAAGACTTGGCCTTCCAGCCATAATTGGTTCTTTGCAAAGTTAAATATAACCAACGTCTGGGTCTTGGACTACTTTGGTGGACCGAAAGTCGTGACACCTGAAGAATATTTTAATGTCACATTGCAGTAAGTGATTTCTCTCCTGTCCAGCATCACCCTTCCCAGCCTCCCAAGGCAAGGGCATTTAACGTTTCTTATGATGTTGACCCTTGCATAATATAGGATCCACTCTTAAAATAATAAAATACATAGGATTACAAAAGAAGCCAGGCACAGTAGTGCATTCCTTTAATGCCAGCACTTGGGAGGCAGAAGCAGGGGGAAGTCTTGGTGAGTTCTAGGACAGCCAGAGCTATATATAGTAAGATCAACCAAACAAATAAAGGACAGCTCTTAAAATATATCTAGAAAATACTTTTTAAATGTGTGATACAGCATTGGTAAGCTTTTGAATTAACATTAAATAGTGCAAAATCTAGTAATGATGCTGGGCAATGGTGGCACACGCCTTTTATCCCAACACTTGGGAGGTAGAGGCAGGCGGATCTTTGTGAGTTCGAGGCCAGCCTGGTCTACAGAGTGAGTTCCAGGACAGCTGGAGCTGTTACACAGAGAAATCCTGTCCTGAAAAACAAAACAAAAATCTAGTAATGACACACAGCTGTAACCCCAGTCCTTGGGAGGCAGAGACAACCACGTGGATTAGAAATTCAAGGCCAGCCTCAGCTACGTGGTGAGGTTGAAGCCAGCCTGGGTTACATGAAACTGTGTTTCAAAGAAAAACAAACAAGGGGGAATCTAGTCATGAGCCCGTAACCCTCAAAGTAGCGGAGACGTTTACCACCCCATAATCATAGCACAATTGCAAGGGATCTTTGATTTCCCCATTGCTGTTGGAGACGGTCGCAGATACCCTGTCGCCTCTATGGTTTGTCATCCGCCATCATCCCTGAAGGAATAACAGATTTCACTTCGAGCTCAGTGGAAAGGTGGGGGGAGTTCCACTCAAGTCACTGACCCCCATGAACTCCCCCTGGCCACGGGGTTGAGGTCCAGTGTTAGGGCTGTGCCTGTGGCACTGCAGACAGTACAAATGGCTTGGGAGGACTGTCTAAGCACCAGGCTTGCTGCTCTGGCCTGCGCACAGACCACATCCGAGTCTGAGCAAGTGACCCTTTCCTGCCAGCATCACCGGGATGCCTGTGGGGAGATGTGGTTTATTCCTCTGGAGGTAATGAAGTTTGGACCAAAGGGAGAGAAAGGAGATGGGGGTGGTGCTGGAGGTGTAAGTTCAGCAGCTGGGTCCTGGGGCTTTGTGTGTGAATCTCAGCACTGTAAAAGAAAAATAGTAAAATTGCCAACGACTGCAGACATAGCTCAGCAGTCCATGGTCTGGTCCCCAGTACCATCTTGTCTGAAAGCAGCCGAGAAACAGGTTCCAAAGATGAACTGGGGTGGGAAGAAGAGGACGATCAGATCTGGAGTGAGGTCAAAGTTCAGGGGACAGAGTGTTTCCTAAGTGGCAATAAGAATTTGGCTATGTATGACATCTGCAAGCTTGAGAGGTGATAATGATACTAACAGTCGCAGCTAGAGTCTGTTAAACATGTTTTACCGGTCGGTGCTATGCTTCACGTGATTAGTTTCTCACCACACCCGGACAAAGCGAGCAGTAATCCCCAGGCTGTAAAATGGAGCACCTGGCCAAGAAATGCCAGGCTTGCTCAATGCCTTTCCGCCAGGAGGTGGCAGTGCTGGGATACAAACGCAAGCATCCTAGCTCCAGAGCCAGGGACTCTGAACCAGGTGGTGTTGCTGAGGCTGCCACTCCAAGTTCATTTTTAGTTCACTTCCTGTTTGTAATGACTGACAGCTCTGTAGGGAGATGGATGAGGATACTCAAATTTATATGTCGTGCCTGAATGAAAATGGGTGCAGTAAAGAAACCAAAATAGCCAGCCGCTCCTTGGGTGGAGAGGGAAGTTTATTCCAAATTGCCAAGGCTGTCTTCTGGGAAAGCAAGGAGAAGCAACGGGGAACGCATTTCTAGAGTTAAATGAGAACAGGGAGAAGGGCTTGCGAGCTGGGGTGGGGCTGTGAGCAGAGATTAAGGTAGCATTGGGGCAGCATTACCCTTGTCTTAGGTACCACAGTCCTGTTAATGGAAGAGCCACAGTTCCTCCTGCAGGAGAGAAGAATGACTTCCTTTTTAGCAAGTAGGAACTTTATTCAAGTCCCTGAGATAATGGTGGTTTTTGTCTAAATGTCTGACCTCAGGAAAAGAAATTTCTTGGGGTGGGGGGTGGAACCAGATGCTGCCCAGTCAGGAGCTTAAATTCTTAGTGTTTATGTAGCCTTTGTCTTATTCCATTACAGAACAACCCAGGTGAAACTATGTAGCCCTCACCCTACCCCCATGGTTGTAATTTTTAACAACAAAGCTCAGGGTTATATTGTGTTCCTGCTCCTGTATTCTGAGCAGAGCTGAGGGTAGTGCCTGGCCCAGCCCACAGCAGGTGCTGGGGAAGCAGCTGCTGATTGGCACTTGATTGAAACAAAGTCTTTCAAATGTCTGAGTGAAGAACTCAGCCTTTCCAGTGTTGATTTTGCTGCCCTGTGTGCGGGAGAAGAGGCACAGGGCCTCTGACCCTCCTCTGGGCTGGCCAAGCATCCTCCGTTATAGGATGTGGAGGTAGCAATTGCCGAGATTATCACCACGTACCGCATTATCAAGGAGACTGACAGCAAGAATGATGGGCCGCTCTTTGAGGTTAGAGTTTTCCTTCCCAGGACATCACAATCTCCGTAGTGCAGTTATCTCTGTGTAAATAACATGCCCTGGACAGTGCTTACTTTAATAACAAAATAAAATTATGTTTTCCCATAAGTCTATGCTTTCGGTGAGTACAATAGACCCCACACACACTCTGTTATGTAGCCGGGTAAGTGCTTTTCTGCAGCTCAGAGATAAGAGGGAACCTTTGGTCTGGTCCTGAGGGGAGGACGGGAGAGCAGAGCCAGGAGTCCCCTGCCGTGCAGTACTATGGAAGGAAGGCATCTAAAGACTGCCCTGTCCCCAGGTACCTCTGGCCACTGATTGCTACTTCAGTCTGTGAGTGAGACTTTCTCCTAGCTCCATACTGTCGTTTGCTGCCAGGACTGAGTCACAGTCCGGGGAGTGTGCAGTTGTACCTGTGAGGACTGTGGTCTGTCCATTCTTAGGAGCCACTAATGGGGTCCTCATGGCATTCTGGAATTTGCCCAGATCCACCTCAGAAGATGCTGTTTCTCTAAATAGCACAGGGTCTTCTGCCTGCAGCTGCTGGCTGGGACACGGGAATGGTGTCCTGAGAAAGTGTCCACTCAGGAACCTGGAGGTCAGGGCTGACACCAGACCTAACTAAATGACCTGCGTCACTGGGTTGCTGGACCTAGGTGGTCTGCTAACTTGGCTGTTGAGTAAAGGTTTGAAGGACTTCATGATGCATTTGCTGATGTCCTGGAGGCAGCTTTCTGCAGGAAGGGCTGAACTAGGCTTCACTTTATCACGGGCCCACTCGGATGACTCTTACCAAGACTGGTTGTATATGTTATGCCCAGATCATGGGGTCCCCCCAAAGCCATCCAGGAGAACGAGTCCTGTATGTAAAAACAAAGAGCTTTTATTCTTACACAAGTTTGCAAACTTGGTCTCTCCGCATGTCCAACATATTGGAGTGATCGGAGAGCCCCGAGCTCAGTTAGAGTTGGGTTTTTATAGTAGCAAAGGTAGGGGTGAGGGATTTCTAAGGTTCAGGATTCTTGATTGGCTGACATTTGTCTAGGGGGTGTCCTGTTAAAAAGCGATGGATATGTGCTGGCAGGTGATCCTGTCTACAACAGTTGAAATGTTTCTTTGGACGGTCTGTTCCTGGGTGGTGCCTGGGTAGTATTAGTTTGTGGCTTTATCTGAACCAGGTATTGATTCAGGGTAAACTACTGAGACTCAGGCCTCTCTTAAGCTTGTCACGACTGGGTCCTATAGTGTGTTAGCTCTGGTTTCTGCCCCCCCCACCCCCCGCCCCGAGAGTCTTACATATCCCCGGCTAGTCTAAAACTCTATATAGCCAAGGGTAACCTTGAACTCCTGCTCCTCCTGCCTCCACCTCCAGAGTGCTGTGTTACAGGTGTGGGCCGCCTTGCTGAGTTTATCAAACTCAGAGTTCTGTGAATACCAGGCAAGCGCCCTCTTGACTGGGCTACACCCCCAGCCCTGTGTGTGTGTGTTTTTCATTTTAAACCTTCAGAAATTCATTTCGAAAGAAGTCCTGCCGGCAGTGGGTCTCCTTGCACACTGTGACATTCACCGAGATGTCAGAATCATCCACGAAGAGCAGAGGAGCTCGTTAAAAGATTATCCTTGGTCCCTGACCAGCATTTATTAAAACCAGGACCGGGAGTCACTGAAATTAACTTAAAACATTAAACTTTTAGGTCCTGAGTGTTTCTCTAGTCTTTCCTGGGAACAAATGAACTGTTAAGACTGGCCCATCCAGCTAATAACGATAACTGTCTCTCTTTCCTTTCCAGGTGAAGCAGAATATGGTGAACTGACCCACACCAGCAACGAGTCGTAGATGGTTCCTGCACACTTAAGGGCTTGCTGTTGTCTGCAGCTTTCCTGGGCTGTCAGCGGACTCTGCCACCCGCTGGTTGATCTTGTTTGCTTGCCTGTTTACAGAATGTTGGTCCTAGAGTGGGGTCTCTTGGAAGATGTGGTTGCTGGATTTAAAACTTGTGTTTTGAAGCCATTTTCACAGAAAAATGCCATTCATTCTAATCAAGGACTTTTTCTTTCATCTATTCCCAGTGTTTTTTCTTCAATGGTGCCCATAGATGGGCAACGTAGACCAGGTGTAGATTCCCCATTGAGGTACCAAAGTCCAGGTGCTTATTCCTGACGGCCACTGTGCCTGGAGGGTGACCCCCTCACCCCGCTGCCTCTGGAGCCTGTGCAGAGGGTGTGTCCCGGATAGAGTGCCTGTGTGGACCCTTCAGATGGAAGGAGTGAACTTCCTGTTCACGTCTGCTTGTAGGGCTGATTCAGCACAGGGCAAAAGGATCTTCTGTAAAGCTCCGTGAATGTCTCACGCTCCAAAGTCATAGTTACCCAGGGCAAAGAAGTCAGAAATGTTTCCTGCGTTCATCTTCCACCTAAGTAGGCACTGAATATTTATTCTTCATCCTTCAAAACATATACACATGGGCTGGGGGCTGGGTACAGCTCGCTTGATAGAGCGCTTGTCCAGCATGCATGGGGCCCTGGGTCTCGGCCCCACCACTGAAACAAACAAACAAAAACCCAAAACAATATGTTATATTTGCACAAAAAGAGGATTGCAGAAGGCAAGGAATTTTGTCTGTGTTGGTTTTTTTTTTTTTTTTTTTTTTTTTTTTTGCAAAAGAAGAATTAAAAGAATTACGAGAGGAATTAGCCCAGGCGCCAACCACAGCCCGCGCCTTCCTCTGATGTTCTGTGTCTCAGAGCTCCTGGTGCTGCTGCTGCAGCCATCCATCCGTGGGAGATAGCATGGTAACATGGCATTAAAAACCTTTCTGGGCTAGAGGGACGGCTCAGCATTTAAGGATGCAGACTGCTCTAGCGGAGGAACTGGCCCAGGGCTCAGACAGACACAGCTGCTCAGAATCCCAGCTCTGGAATCAAATCCCTCTGGCCTCTGGGGGCACCAGCACACACACACAGACACTCGCACACACACAATTAAAAACAACACATTTTAAAATGTTTCTTCAGAGGGTGTACTGTCTAGCTTCGTCTTCTGAATTCGTGATCTCAGATGACGTAAGAGACCTTTTAATGAAGTGTGGGGTATCAAACCACTGACCCCCTACGGCAGCAAAAACAAGTTAAATAGGAGCCATAATGTTGGAAAAATAGATGATAAACTAAACAAATCCAGCAAATGACTTTTCAAGAAAAAAAATTATATTAAACAGCCAGAGTCTTGTCATTCAAGTCATTAACAATTAAAAGCGTTATTTTAATGAAGTGTATTGGACTGCTTTCGGAGATCCAGATGTTTGCTTCACTGTGCACTACTCAACCAGTGTTCTCGTTTAACCACACTCCTGAGTCAGCCACTTGCTCCAGAACTCGAAGGAATCACGCCGCTCCTTTCCACTGGCAGAGAGCTCGTCATGTCCTAGAATGTGGGGAACGTCGGAATCTAGGCTTGGGTTTTGGCATGCTCTGTAGAACTGGGTTGAGGGCATCTCCTCAGATTTTTCTCTTTCTGCCTGCTCACTGTGATTTCTGTCCTTGGCATTTGGTACTGTGGAAAAACTCCATATTCAGGTCAGATCCAATTATCCTACGGGGCGAAGTCCACGCTTCACAGCTTTATAATTGGACTTGTAGAATGTCACCGAAACATTCTGAGTGTCCACAAGGGGGCACCACAGACTACTGTTGAAGCAGATCCAGGTTGTGCGGTGAGGTTTTGGTGGGGTTATTTTTGTTTTGTTTTCTCCTCTATTTCTTAGTGTCTCTAGACTGTGTAGTCCAAGGTGTCTTCAGCCCTGTGATGTTCTTGCCTCAGCTTCCTAAGTCCCGGATGGCAAACACATGCCACTGTGCCCTGTACAGCTCCAGTTTCTCAGCTGGTGGGTCCTTCATACCATGGCTGTGCTTCAGTCCTTGGGTCTCACACATCGCCTGCTGCAGATAGGGACTGAGCCCCAGTCTTAGCTAGGATAAGGGATGAATGAGAGATGTGTCCCGGGAGCGTGGTGCTCAGAGGTCATGGCGGAGAGACCCTGAAACTGCAGGGGCCAAGTGGCTGCATTTGTCAGATGCTTCCCTGGCCGCTGTTCTGAGCAAACTAAGACCAACAATGGGATTCGCCTGCGTTCTAGTCCAGGTTCAAAGCCCTCGGGATTACGTGGGGGTGAGGACCCATTGTGAACTGAGGCATGCACAGTTCAGTGAAACAGAAATGTTCTGACGAGATTGCCAGCATCACAAGTCTTTCTCAGTGACATTCAGACCAGGAATCGCAAGGTAATTGCAGACAACTCGCCTTAACGGCGCATTCTGTAGCTGTTTTAGTGCTGAGAAAGTAATGCTCTGTGGGAGTTTATTGGTCAGTATTTCATGGTGTTTTCCAAACTCTAAAGCAGATGCTCTGTTTTTTCATCTGAGAAGACAAATGGTAAGTTTCAAAGAGAGTATGGAGCAATTGTTTTCTTGTTTTTTCCCTTTTTATTGTAGGATGTCCATGAGAGGGAGGGGGACAGGGAGGGAGGGGGAATGTGAGATAAATTCATGACTTGTAGCCCATATAGTTTGCATGGTTGTTTGCTTTTTGCTTTTTGAGGACCCCTCTACCCGGCTCCCAAATAATCACACACAGACTTACTCTTTTTGTGAATGCCCGGCCTTAGCTTGATTTATTTCTAGCCAGCTTTTCTTAAATTATCCCATCTACTTTTCGCCTCTGGGCTCTTTCTTTATTCTGTTCCTTCGTATTCTGTGTCCGGCTGTGTGGTTGTGTGACTGGTCCCTGTCATCCTCCACTCCTTTTTCTGCTTGCCTCTCCTCTGTTTATTCTGGCAGCCCCGCCTATCCCTCTCCCCTAGCTAGTGGCCACTCAGCTCCATTAGACCAGTCAGGTGTTTTAGACAGGCAAAGTAACACAGCTTTACAGAGTTAAACAAATGCAGCATAAAAAAAAACGCAACACATCTTTGCATCATTGAGCAAATATTCCACAGCATAAACAAATGTAACACATCTTAAAATAACATTCCGCAACAATAGTTAGCCTAGGTGCTAGTATTTTGTGGTTCTTTCCTATTGTTGAACCACATAGGAAATATTGTGGTTCAACAATATTGTGGTTCACAATAGATGGATTGTTGAAGGATCATGCTGAGTACTGACTGGGTATCCCAATGCTTCCACTTTATTTTGAATTTGTTACATTCCTAGAAATCGTTTATAAACATAACTTAGTAAAAGGCAAGAGATCTGTATGAAGAGAAACCATAGTATCCAAGGGCAACGGAGCAGCGGCAGAATCTGTCCTCGTGGCAGCATCCCTGGGCTACAGAATAAGCACCTGAGCTGGGAGTCTTGCTGTCACTGGAACTCAAATCAAAATAATTTAAACAAAAAGGAGGAATTTGTTGCTCCTAAAAAGAAACAGTCCTTCAGAACACCACCTTCACAGCACTGCCTCTCTCTGTCAGTTTTAATTGCAGTCAGTAATTCTGACAAAGTGGATGAACGCTTCATATTTGGGGTCCTAGTCACTCCTGAATGAGAAGTGGAGGGCCCTCAGTGACTGAGCCCAGGTCTGTGGGTAGGATGTGCCGTGTCTGTGGGCAGGATGCGCCATGTCTGTGGGCAGGATGCGTCGTTGACCAGGACTGTGTCATTGGCCCTTTCCAGGAGATGGAAGTCGGAACCAAGAGGACTTGGAGAGTTTTGAAGGGGACTCCTGAGAGGAGGTCATAATAACTGACAACAGCCAGACAGGGCAGGACGCGGCCAGACAGACACATTCAGACAGAGCAGGATGCGGCCAGACAGGGCCGGGCACGGTCAGACAGGGCAGGGCACGGCCAGACAGGACGGGACACGGTCAGACAATGAGCTCATCTCTAGTTTTTCTTTCTTCCTCTTCTCCCCAGTTTCTTGACATTTTGGTTGTATGGTTTCCAGGAACGCTGCAGATTGTTTTTAGGGATTGCCATCAACTCAACTAATAGCTCTGCACTCAAATGTCACAATGGTCACAATGCTTGCTCTGTGCTGAATCTCTGCTGTGTTGAGATTCAGGGAAAACCTCTGCTGTGTTGTTCAAGCTGGCAAGTTTTAGGTTACCAACAATACCTAACATAGAAAGTAGTGGTTTGGGCCAATGAGATGACTTAACGAGTAAATGTATTTGCCACCAAACCTGATGGCCTGAGTTCAGTCCTTGGAACCCACGCAGTGGGGCACAATGCTGTGCTGTGCTTACCAGGAGCCATGGCATGTGCATACCTCTAACACATGCATACACACACACACACGCACGCTAAATAAATATGTTTTTAAAGTGTTCTGTCAGCTGTTTTTCCTCTTAGTGGACTCTAGGTTTATGTAAACTGTCCAGTGATCCTCTGAGAATCCCTTTAATTTACTTTCTGGTAGCTCTAGGGTTTGTCAACACTTGGTAAAACTGTTTTCCATTTAAATTATTTCAAAATCAGTAGATTTAAAATTTTCCATAAAGCAAATTCACATAATTGGATATTTTCCCCTTAATGTATTTAATTTTCTTTAAATTTAGTTCTTTGCTTTTGGGAAATTTGGTAAATGTCAGTTCAGGTTTTCTTCCACTTTTATGAATTAATTTTTCACCCTTAATTCTTCAATCTGCCTAGAATGTTCTTTGTGTAGAATGTTTATCTTTCTTAATGACGATCCCAAGTCACTTTTAATCTGTTATGAGCCCAAATCTGCCCACAGGTCTCTCAACAGCAAGGACAGACATGAAGTTAACACTCCCCTCTTAGCCTGCTTATAGTCTGTGGGGCAGTCTGGAGACACTCTATGGCCCTCAGCTTGGCCCTCGGCACTGATGATGGCCAAAGTCATGACTCTGTTAAGATTCTCATAGACTCAAACTTTGGAGGATGCTTACTACGCACGTGCATGTGCTCACACTCCTTAGCTAGAGTCTCCAGTCTCCCACAACAAACACCTAGCTGGCTTTCTCAGCATTATTCCTGTGTACAGTGCAGTCTCTCTCTCTCTCTTATACACACACACACACACACACACACACACACACAATTTAATTCAAAAAAGAAAGAAGTACTTTTGTACCTGTGCATAGAATTCCAGACAAGGGCGAAAGAGAGGAGAACCTGGGCAGAAGGGGCCCTGGAACAGCTGAGCAGGAAGTAACTCAAGGTTGGGAACACAGACAAGGCTGCAAGGGCCCGGGAGCCTGGCCCAGTTTGTGCAGACTTTACGTTGTCTTGAATAAGTCTCTTTATTTCTTCGAGCATTTGGGTGCATCTGTAAAGGACAATACTTCACAGGACAAAGCACAAATGAGCAAAAATGCTCCCAAATCATTTTGCGCAGTGACTCTGCTGCAATGGTCGCCACTGTTCTCGGGGCGAGCGGAGAAGACACCAACTGCCATACGCGGGAATCCAAGTAGCATCCTCACTGTGCGCCTCCCAGTGCAGCCTTGCACGGGGAGAGATCATCTTAAACTCAAGCGTGCTGACCCTGCCACGGGGCTTCCGCCTTAGCCAGGGATTCATCCAGACAAGCACCCTTTTCGGAGGGAGCCACAGAGTTTTGCAGACCCTCTGTAAAATGGAGGGCAATAATAATCCCTTCCTCCCGTTTGTAGAGAGAATTCAAGTTACACAGCAAGCTGAAGGCTGAGGCAGGGGAATCGTGGGTTCAGGGTCAGCCTGGTCTATGTGTGAGAGAGACTCTGCCTCAAAACAATTTCTTTTTCAAGCCAACACACAGAAACCACACAGAGACCCACCTATAGAACGAACACTCAGTAAACACTAAACAGGCAAGTCCTGTTTCTTTACCTCAGGTATCAACTGAGAAGTCATGGCTGACAATACTTTTACTTTCATAGAATATAGCCATGCCTGGTACTCTCTTTCTAACCCTAGTAACTAGCGTGATTTTTTTTTAAACTTCATACCCAAGCCACGGATTTGCGTTTGCCCACACACTTCCACACCAGATCCTATAGCTCTGATTCAAGAATGCAACACTAGAGGTCCCTGTGGTTCTTTAAAGAAATACTTTGCCTCTTGTTTTGTTTTTTTTAAAGGTTTGTAGTGTGGGAAAACAAACAAACAAACAAACAAACCAGCAAGGGCCGTGTGTTTGAAAATGCCAATTTTTGGTTTTGGTTTTGGTTTTGTTTTGTTTTGTTTTACAGGTAGTTCTCTGAAATTGGAGGGGGGGGGGCAGGCTCTGTGAGCTCTGAAGTCACATTGTGTGTTCAAATCCCA